TTCTTGCAAGTAGGTGTATATCTATCACGGTCTTTTAGTTCATTGACGTCTTTGGCTCATATTTCTCATCTGTTAAACAATGCATGAATGAAGGATGTAGGTATGCCATGATTATCACACTTCAACAACTGCATGTTTAAAGAACAGACAGTTTTGTCAAGGTTGGGTGCGCATCCAATCTGACGGGCCCCAAAACTGAAAAACGCAAATTCAGTGAAATTGAGAAGCCAGTTTTATATTTGGAGAGGAAATTTATCAATTTTATGAATTGTTATCGAAATTATTTCATAGAAATTTAGGATAATATTCATCATTAAGCTCGCGTTCTGGTATCATGGCCCGTCAAGTTCCTTAAATTTGGACGCGCACGCAACCTTGAGAACGCAGTCTATTTATAAATCCAGGCACAGTTGTCGCTATTTTCATTGCTGCATGCCGCTGATCGAGACAACAGTAGCAGCAAGGAAATTAGGCAACATACTTCGTTAATCAAATAAAGTGTTCACTTTCTTTCTATACCCTGATTGACTGCAGTCTATAGCGCAGCGCACTGGTTTTAAAAATAGCTTAAAGATTCGGACAAACATTGAATTCTGATTAACCGCTACGAGGATTATACGAACCGATTTTATTATTTTTACTTAAAGTTACAGTAAGGTACAGTAAGGATTTTGTAGAAATAATATTGGGAGGGCTCATGTGTTTAATGTACTTACTCCGACGAAGGACTAACGTCTGAAACGTCAGTTTCACAAAGTATTTTACGGTGATTCAATTTATCCACAAGTTCCTGCTGCTTTATTCAGAAACACCGACGCATTCCACGCTAGTATTCTACTAGTTATCACCACTTATTTAATAACATAGCTAGCTGAACTGACTTAAATACGCGTTCTTTCAGAACGCTATTATATATTCTTTTAAAAAAATATTTGCATCTTAGGTATTAGAACATCGTACATCTCGAAAAGTCATCACATCTACTATCTAGAATTTAGTAAATAGAGTACAAACACTAAAAGTGTGCAACACTTTGCACTACTTAGTAGTAAATAGTGCTAATTAAACAATAGAAAACAATAGGATTAGCATAATTTAGCAGTATTTAGCGGTATTTATGTTACACACTCTATAAGTAACAAGCTATCAGTAGGTAGTACACTAAGAACGACAACACTTGTTACGAGATAAAATATCGATAATAATTTTGATTAATAATAAGGATGGTCGTACCTGAGAGCATGCAAAGCACGCCAGTAAATGCTGCCTGCTTGACCATCGTTAGTATCACAGGGTCTCTATTCTGGTCTGCCGGTAATATAACGATAATAAAAGACACACAGCCAGCTGGGTACGATCACGAGTTGCTTGGAATTTTAATTCAACCTTGAAAAATAGAAATATGATTTGATTTTTAACAAACATTCTGAGAAAATAAACCATTTTAAAATAGAAGAATAGTCGGTGCGAGTCGATGAGAATTTATATTCAAGGGATTTTSAGTTATAAGCAACTGAGCGTGGTAATTTTTAGAGTGGGACGAAGCAACTCTGATTGTCACAAAACGACTGTTATTTGTTGCTGAAGATGTTGCAAAAACTGATATTTGACTTCGAATATAATGTTGAAAAGAACTAAAACGTACGCCATAAGTGTATGATGATTTTAAATAAAGGTTACGGCTGAAGTCGACAAGCGAAGAAAACAAGTTTTTTCTCGTACTGATTACTCTCATCAAACTTCACTAGTATATACTTACAGAGAGTGTTTACTAGTGTATACTTACAGACTTACCTTTATAACAATTGCGTATATGTGTTACCGTGCTGTTGTTCGTCGTGATATTTTATCAACATCATCATTCAAGTATAAAGAAAGAAGTGTTCACGTCAGAGGGATGCTTCTAGACAACCATTTAAGGCATGCATGCACGATGGACAATATCGTTTTTGAGATTTTATTTCTCGACTGTCTAAAACCAAACGATTTTTCCTTTTTATCCTCAACTTTTTCTAGAGCCATCCWTTAATTAAAATAATATAATAACCGAGCTTTTGAGCCCATGGATTATTATATTAGGGTAAAACGTAAGTTACAAAAATAGTTTGCTCTTCAAGCAGGCATTTAAATTTGAAGGAGTAATATCTCAGTAACTATATRTCAGTGACCGTGACTTGATTGTCAAGTACCATTATCAATAGGTTTTCAAAGAAGATAATAAAGCTTTGTTGCCATTGATAGTTTAATGGAGAAAATGATCTGATATTGTAAGATAGTGAAGACGATTATGGTGATGATGGTGAAGCTGGTGACGAAGATGATGACGATGGTGTTTTTGGTAGCAATGATGATCATAAAGACGATCACGATGATGATGGTGAAGATGTTGACGATGATGATGATGATGAAAGTGTTTGCTGTGAGGTGATGATGAAGATGAAGGCGATTGCGGTGAGGATTATGGAAACGGTCATGGTGATGATGTTTGCGGTGGCGATGATGGTCATGTTAGACGACGATCATGGTGATGAGGAAGATGAAGATGTTGAAGATGACGATGATGATCTGATGGCGTTTGTTGTGCGATGAAGATGATCGTGGTGTTTGTGGTGGCAATCATGATCATGTAGACAATCTTGATGATGATCRTKAAACTTCGTAGTTTTCAGTGTCAGCAAAATTTTGCGCAACAGTTGCACACACAGCACTGTACGTATGTTTGTGAGTGTCAAGAGAACRTTGTCCATTATTTTAGGAAAGTGTTGTTTTGACCAAAGTGCATGAGATGAAACAAAAACCACACTCCTTTGTTAAATCACGAAACCGTTTTTTATTATAATCTAAATCACTTATATAATATGAAAACGAATGTGCTCTTCACTCTTCATATATAATAATGTTTATATAATATTAACTTTGACTATCTAATGAGGTTTACAACTGTTCAGTCACGATCAGTGCTGCAAAGATGCAGGAAAGAGGAAAATGAAAAAGGGAAATACACTAAATTCATGCATGCTTCACTGTTGTATTTTTAACTCTTATTAGAGATCTGCTTTAGTTTTTTAACACATAAAAAAACCCGAGAAAACAAATATTCTTAGCATGTTAAATCAAATTAAAGCTAACAGAAATAACATCTAGCAGCATCTGTATTTATCTACTATCTACTTTTATTAGTTGAAAAAATGCTAAAAAATAACTTTAAACTAGTTCAACGAAAACTATGCAACTACATGCAGCGGATGCAATTAAACCGTGAAATAAAATCAAACTAAATACTAACTAATAGTATCTATTTAGTGACTAATAGTTGCTATCACTCAACCAGAATATTTGTTAAACAAAAGATTTGTCTTTGTATGATGAATGTTCTGGTTGAGTAATAGTGACTATTAGTCACTAAATAGATACTATTAGTTAGTATTTAGTTTGGTTTTATTTCACGGTTTAATTGCATCCGCTCTATACTATACTAGATACATAATGATAATACGTCCTTTTTATGTGTTTGTATAAGAAACTACGCCAAGAAGCTAAAGAAGGTAGGACAGTGCCAGGCTGATAAGAACGAACAGAAGCGACGCTTGAACTTGTTTTACTCCACCTGTACCTGAGAATTGAACAAAAATATATATAACACAATGATCCAAGACTAGATATATTTAGTCTGAAGTATATAATGTTTAGTCTTACTTTAGGCAATATGTCATCCGATGATTTTTTTCCGGGTTCTCCGGTTTTCCTCCCTCCTCAAACTACTCAACTATTTTATTCCACTTCGATCTTTGGTGTTTGACCTAGTTGGAGCCTAGCTCTGTTGTGATTGTCCCACGCTGTGATACAACAGCTAAAGCTTAATAATAGAATTTTGGATTCTTATAGGAGTATCATAGGACGTTATATACTCCAACGTTTCCAATTGTCTTTTACATGGCGTAATGGGGTTTCATCAAATGTGTAAAGCAGGAGACGTTTATCTATGGTTTCACCAGGGGATCAAAATTAACGGGAATCAAAAAGCTCACGATATGAAGATGTTTACCTTTCTGAATTGTAAACTTGATTTGACCAGGGACGGTACACTCGGGCTCTGAATGACCAGGAGAAAGAATGTTAGTAATTTTACTTTACTTTGCTACGTGCAAAATAGCTAGCAAAGAGTAAAATTAGAATCAAAATAGGAGTTAGAGAATCATTTCCATTCAATTACACGTGAAAACCTGATTTTGGTTGAAACTTTGGGGTAAAAGACACTGTCCTCCCCCTGGTGACCCACCCACCTCTCCCTGCCGCGCCGCGCCGCGCCGCACACACCCACCCCACCCCACCCCTCCTTTCAAAGAACCTGCTTATACCCTTGTATCTTTTCTTTCCTTCCCTTCCCTCTGTACACGGAAGGCGTGATTAAACCAACGTCTTATTCTTTTCCCTTTCCTCTCGTTTCCCTTCCCTTAGTGCTCTTCCCTTTCCCTTTTCTCATCTCCAAAAGCACAAATCCGGATATTTTACTCTACGGCTTTGCATTAATGTCGGACGGGACACGGTGTGTGTACCTGTACAAGCACAGCTAACTTGATCTGCGTAGATGCCAAGATACACTGGTGGACACGTGGTCTCGTTGTATCCTGTAGAAAAACAAAGARACYCATACTGTCAGTTACCGTYATGGAGCGGGGGTTTCCCAACCATTCTGCTCCATTAACTATGATCAGAGACAAGGACATGGCCAACTCACAGATTGAACCCTGAAACAGGCTCTTGGCTGATCTGGCTGATCTAAGTCAGTACATTGCTAACTCAATGTACAGTACAAGAGTTGCAAGCTTTTTGCTTACTGACCTGAACAAGGGTTTGAGATGTGCAGCGACATTTGTTGGCCGATTGCTAAGAAAAATATAAAAAAATTATAACAATACTCCATACTTTAGTTATAATTATTGTTCATGAAACTAGATCTTCATTCGTATGTTATTTTGTAACAACACGCTAGACAAACAGGCAAACAAATAAACAAACGAGCGAATGAACGAACGAACGATCACTAGTGGCTATTGAGTATTATTATTCATGATTTTCAAGAGAAAATATCTTACTATACCTATGTGCAAGGGCGACAGTGGTGTCAATGACATAATGGATATTAATAGATGATCAATATTAATACTTACCGATCGGATCCAGTTTGTAGGTATGATTGGAAGGGCCAGGTGTGTCAGCGATGCGAGATGCGTAGATCTTAAGTGAGCCGTAAATGGGCTTAATCTATAAAAATATAAATCATCAAAATCATTAAAATATTAGAAATAGTAGCGGTTGACAGTAATAGTAATAGTAATAGTAATAGTAATAATAATAGTAATAGTAATAGTAATAGTAATAGTAATAGTAATAGTAATAGTAATAGTAATAGTAATAGTTATAGTTATAGTAATAAAACACCAATATTATCAATACGCTTCTTAGTTGAGTGAGAAACGAAAAAGTTTTGAGACTTGTGTTTTGTCGTGAAAAACAAAACAAAACAAAATAAATAAACCTAAGAAAATACTAAGACTAAGTAAGAGCATTTTAAAGATCTTGAAAGCAAGAAAGTACAGTATGTCTTTGGTTTGGCTCAAGTTCAGCTTAACTGAATGAGAACCAGGTAATCCAAGGGATCCTATTAGCCAATCAAATCAAGTACCATTATACTACAAAACATACAAACGAAGTCACGTGAATACATACTGCAATATCAATGTCTTTGACGCCGTAGAAAAACCTYGGAGCGAGCGCAAAGTATCTAAAACTTCCTGGGTAGACGTAGGCTGTGACGATGGTGTTGTTGCCCTCGACTTTAAAGTCCAAATCCATCTGGACTGGAGCTGAAATACAAACAAAATTGTGGTCTATTAATCATTTTACTTGTTATTAGATCTTAGACTGCGTTATAGTCAGTCTAGCCTTTTCCCCCCAAAGTTCTCAGTCTGTCTTATTATATCAGTCGGTCAGTCGTTCAGTCGGTCAGTCGGTCAGTCGGTCAGTCGGTCAGTCGGTCAGTCGGTTCAATCTTATTGAAAAACTCACTCCAATGTTTCCAAAAATATTTTCAAATATGTCACATAATGATCGCCTTACTTGTGCAGGTTCGGGTTTGCAGTCTCTTTACCAACAGAAGCAGCGCAGTGAAGTCGTTGGCGGTAAACACGTGCTTGTAAGGGTCTGTTGCTATCAGTTCAAGTTCATTGTAGTCATAGTTACCAACACCCACTGATATCATCGTGAGGTCTGTAAAACGGCCAAAGAAAAATGTGCGTTAATATTAATGATTACAAATACTTGTCTTTATCCARCATATCTATTATTGTTATATTTGTTTACCTCGGATTTCGTTTTTCATTTGTCTAACCACTCGTTGTAAAGCCCTCTTATCAGGATCATTCGACTTCCCATCCGTCAATAGGATTACGATATTCGAAACATCGCTTTTACTAGTCGTTGTAGCAGCCTGATYGTTTTGTAAGGGCCAAAAGATATCATCCTTGACTAACTGCAAGGCCTCTGCAGTGTGGGTGTAACCCTCTGAAGAGATAAGAMAACACAGCAAAAAGAATAAATTGAAGACATTCACGAGACGCCCCGTTCCGTGGCCTATATACTAATAAAGTATCTTATTGCTTAACTTATTATTTTTCTTACTAGTTAACAGCAACAGCAACAGCAACAGCAACAGCAACAGCAACAGCAACAGCATTGGTTAATAGTTTATAGCAAATGACTTACTTCTTTGTCGTAGATTATTGACAGCACATTTAAGCCTCGTTTTGGAACTGTAGTCATGGAGACCGATGTCGATGGCTGCACTGTYGGAGAATTCTACAATGGAGACTTTAGTTTGCTGTGGTGATACGTTGAAAGCATCGATAATATCTCTGTCAGTCAAAAATATTGGATAACAAAACAGTTAATGGGTTATTTTACTCACTATGTCGACTCTGATTGGCTGAAAACCATCAACCAATCTCTGATGGCGTGTGAGATTGACTTATAAGAATTATTTGTAGTTTATTCACGTTCACTCAAGTTCAAAACAGAGAGAACGGAAGGCAAAATTTAATATTTATTCGCATATTATAAATGTATAATGACAAACAATTATTGAAGTTGCYTTTACCAATACTTCTTTATTTTTGCGTTGACTCTTTCCCCGTCCCCAGTTCCTCTCCCCTTCTCCTTCCCAGTACCCTCCGGCCCTCCCTCTCTCTCCCAAGAACCGTTACAAAGGCTAATGGATCTCTTAAGTGTGAAGAACGTATGGAAGAACGACTTTCAGGTCCAAAACGAAAAGCAGTTCTAAAAATTTAAGATTTAATTTTCTTACTTTTTCTTCACGTCAGGATTGGTTATCCAAAGTTTTAACTGTTCCAGGGTGGAGGTTATATAACTTACGGAAGCATTCTAAGCTATATTTTAATGTGTTTGTAAGTAGCTGGATACTAAAATACGTCACAACGTAACAYCTCTATCTTAAATCCATTGAAGCAAGCAGTTTCCTTTCCTTTGGTAAATACCGCTGTTATTCTTGACGACAGGCTCATTTGCACAGATTTCGCCTCGTTCAAGAGCAAATCATTCACAAATGTCAACGTACTGTAATGTAAAGAATATGCAACCTGAAATCCCATTGACTTTTAATGGTATCTATGAATAGCTACCATAAACGAGGCTAAACCCGTGCAAATGAGTCTAGTCATCGGTGTGCATTGACGAGAAACTCAGGCCTCAGGTCTAACTCAGAGATCTTATATATATTTTTATTCCAAAGGCTGCTAAATCGTTACTGCAGTGTCGATCATCTTATTACCTGACAAAATCCTTTTCAACTTTGAAATGGCGATCTCTTATACTTGTTGACTCGTCCATCACAAACACCAGATTTGCTGGCAGCTCGCATCCTGAGTCAACAGTAGATAAAATAGATAATCGACAAATCATATAAATGATCATTAAAATGTAACATCTCTCTTTGAGACACGGACGTTTTGTTTGCAAATAAAAACATAAACAGACAAATAAAAAAATGAACA